TTAGTGATATTGGCCCCTGTTTATTCTTAATGGACGGAACTCGGGCTCATTTTTTACAAATAAAGCTTTTTGTTTGAAAAGGGATGTGTTTTTTCTTTTAATCCCTCAAAATTAAGTATAAGGGGTTATTTGAAGTCTGCTTTGTAAATTTTACAGCAAAGAATACATTGTACAAACCTTGTATATTAAAAGCGTAGGTTTCTTGCAGCGGTTTGTGTTGATTTGCGGGAGGTTCGCGCGGTGGCGCCAAAACACTGAACACCAAGCGCGGGAACCAGTCAGCGCGCCAAATATAGATTTTTAAAACATGATGATAATAATAATAATAGATGGATGGATAGATAGATTCAGAAAAATTAGGTTTAGTTTACAAACAACCTATTCAATGCACCTATTCAAACTAAAAAAATCAAATGTTTTGAGTGGAGCATAAACAAGATTTGTCCAATTAATAACTAATAACATAAAATGTCCTCATAAGTCGGTTGTCATGATATTTCACTGTATTAGTGAGAACATTTGGCGCTCAGAAGCAAAACAAAACCTGTTTATACAGTGTTTAGCGCTGTTTTAAGTTGTTTGTTTAATCTGTCGGTTTTTCGCGTCTGCACTAAACATTTCACAGCGGGATGTCAATCAAAGTGACAGTGAAATATGAATTCAGAATATGAATCTGTTGCATGGCTGTTTATATGAAGTGCTGCTGTTGACAGGCGGCCTCATGTCTGACTCATTATCTCTGCTGATCAAAGGTTCAGGGAGGCGCTTAACTGGAGAACCCGAGCTGCAGAAGCTGCTTCAGCCGCAGGACTGATCTGCTTCAGCTCCAGACTCCAGGAGATGCAGTGCAGGTGAGTTCAACTCTATAAACTAACTCTAAACTCGGCTCTTGCACTGAGTCGATTTTATAAACAAGTCTGTAAACTACCAACAATATTGTAATATGAGCACGTGTCTGCTCACCTGAGATCAGCAGCTTTATGATGAATTAACCTCATTACTGTCAAACAGTCTCAGATTGTGATTGAGATCAAATGACAAACACTAATGCGCGTTCAACTGAATTACAGAAGGAAGTTTGTTCTGATAATAAAGCATAGATGCAAACTCCTCAGCTTTCAGACTCCTCACTCTTCAGATCAAAACAGGTCACCTGTGAGATTTGCTTAGATCCAGTGAGAGAGTGTTTTTATGACTCTGGTCTTTCAATAAGTTTTGTATAGTATTTTCTTTATTTTTCACTTCAAAAACTATGTCTAAAAAGGGTAATATTTTATGTATTTTTTGACCAAATAAATATGATAAATTATACAATTTTGGACATGTAAGGTAATAATAAATATTTTTAAAATACCTTAAAGTAACTACAAAAGAGCATGTAAAGCAAATATCTTCAATAGAAAGTCCGTGTGGAGCATATGCCCCGGATCCATGCAATGTTCTCACCTTTTGTCCTTTACCTGTTTGCATCTCTGAGAGTTCCTTTCAACATAAAGGCAAAGAAGCTGTTAGTGTGTTGCAGAAACTCTTGAAAGTGTCACATGTTCCTGAGTTTATTAATAACATTGATCCTCCCCGCCGATTAATAAAACCAGTGTAATACAGCTAACCTTCGTTATGCATGACTCAACTTCATATGCCAATATTAGGCAATTTCATGTGATGTTTCCCTAACGTTTCAGACGGGATCTGTCTCTGTCCTCTGGCAGGTGTGGAGATGATTCCTGTGAATGAGTTCCGGAGCATCACGAGCGAGCAGAACCCACAGTTCCGGGTCCTGAAGCCCTGGTGGGACGTTCTGTCCGAGTACCTGGGCATCGCGATGCTGATGATGGGGGTGTTCGGCTGCACGCTTCAGGTGAGCTCCGTGTGCCGTCGTGACATAATGACCCTTACACCAGCCCTACCAAGAGTTCAGACACGAGTCAGCCGCATACAACACTTCGTGTGCTCAGACTGTTAGTCAGCGACTGAAAATAAATAGTTCACTTGAAAATGAAAATTGTGTCATCATTTACTCAATGTCATTTTCTTTCTTTCCTTAAATGCAATTTTGAAGAACCTTTGAGCTGTGTCTTACCATGCACTGAAAGAGATTTCACAACACCATCAAAGTATCATAAAAGTATAATAGCAGTCGGTCATGTGACTCACACACTTTATTCTGAGCCTTCAGAAACCATGTGATTCTCTGTGCGAGGAACAGATTAAAATTGAGTTTTTTTATATAAGCTTTTTCCTTCACTCCAGCTTCAGAAATGCTGCATGCAGACACATTATACAGGTTTGGAATGACATGAGGGTGAGAATTTTCATTTTCATGTGAACTGTTCCTTAGAAAAGCACATGTTATTGTGTGTGCTGCTGTGGTTTGTCATTCTGCTCTCCGTGTTTTGGCTGTTCCGTCTGATTCACGTATCAGAAAACGTTTCTCCTTCCAGAAGCAGAAGCAGAGAAGTTCTCTAGACGGTCACATTACATGAAGTGATCGCTGTCAAGTTCTTTGAGCCGGCACTGTATCTGCATTTGGAAGCATGTTTTGTGAATCAGAGGCTCTTCTCTGCAGTCCGTTCTTGTGCGGCTGCATTCAAACACACGACTGGCCGAGCAAAAGGCATTTTCGCATAAATGGATGTAAACCTAACGTATTAAATGTTAAAACTCTACAGTGGGGTTATAAATTAACCTTTTGTAAAATTTTAAATGGACAAGCTGGTAACACTGATTATAATCGTGGAATGTAATGATCACAGGTTTAAAAAATACTTTAGAGAAATTGCAGTCACCATCCATGTTCCTCTGCGTCGCACGTCTGATCAGGAATGTGTGCAATAAAGAGAAGCGATTAGGCAAGAGCTTTAGCTGATTAGATAACGCGTCTCTGCGGTGTGTTTGCTATCAGACTCCCGCCGTTACTCGTGATACCCATCGGCCATTCTTCCTTTTATTTGCCGCCAGAAACATGCAGGTGTTTGCAGTGTAAATGTTCATTAGATGAGTGCGATGTTTCGTGTGTCATCGTCACTGATGCTTAGACAATCTCCATCTCTCCGCAGCTGACCCAAGACAAGATATCTTGCCTGCCGAACGCACTGGAGCGCTGCCATTCACACATTTATTTTTTTGTCTAAATAGAGTGTGCTTTGATTTACGCGATGACATGAGCTATGTTTGCATCACCGCTTTAATGCGCACTTTGAAGTATCGCATCAGAAACAAGTGATGGAAATTCTAATAAAAATCCCTTAATTCGTAGAAATGTTTTTACGCTTGCTTGAGGTGGTTTTTACTTGTGCGAAAAAGGGTTAAAGGGACTTAGGATGCCTTGAGGGTGAGTAATTTATGAGCTAATTTTCATTTTTGGGTGAACTAACCCTTTAATGCGAATAATGGAAGATGGAAACGCATTTGCTGAATAAATTCCTCCATGCGCATCAAACAAAAAGTCATGGGACTGACCAGCGGACCGATCTCGTTCACAGCATCTGAAATATTGTTCTGGTCGTTCTGAAAGGCCCGAGCAAAGTCTGTCGTCAAAGTATTTCTGTATAAATGTCTTACACGACTGCGTTCACAAACAGCAGCATCCACCTCCGAAAGCATTAACCTCTCGTGAAGCACACAATTAGAAAACTTTGCTCATGGACGTTCAGTTCGGCCAACCACCTGAGCTGTAAATGTCATGTGACCACTGATTCTTGAGCTGCAGGAAATGATGTCATAACAACACCGATTGGCTGATGACAAGAACACACACACACACACACACACGCACACAAGTGACGATCCTGAGCTGTGACAGCAGCACAATCAAGTCTACTAGAATATAATGAAGTTGTGACTGAATGTTGTGTCCAAAGAAAATATTTGTTAGAATATGCAAATCATTTTAGATATTTGTATAAAATGTAAGTGATATATCTACCAGCAGAATCTAACTTGACTAACCAGCGAACCTTGAATCTTCTGAAGCCTCGGTGACTCTCTGCTGGCAGATGAGCTGATGTTGTCTGATGTTCTTGCTTCCATCAGATGTTTATAGTGAATGGATTATTAAAAACCCACAGATCTGCATCTGTGAACTAAACTGGATCAGTTTGTCTTCATTATTATATTTAGCAAAATGTATGAAATCAGTAAAATAGTTTCACTGCATTACTTTTCTAGGTAGCAAGACTGTGGATGTCTGGACCTCTTGCTGAAGATGGTTGGAGATACAGTGTGATGTGACGAAAGATGACTAGCACTGATATATTTCCGTATATACACCAGTCTGTCAGTATGTTTACAGATGCATTTGATTTGTTCTATGGATGTGTTTTATCGTACAGTATTAGTTTGTAAGTTTTGTACACTGGACTTCCATCATTCTTTTGCACAGAGCAAATCTGAGTCTGCTGAGATCATCCAGTTGGGTTTAAACTGATCCGAGTTCAAACTCTCGCTCTGAGCATGATTTACTGGACTGTGATCTCAGTGATCTCAAACACTCGCTGTGATACTGCTGGCATGATTAAACAGGTGTTTGATTAATCCTGTATTAGTGCAGAGGAGTCAGACTTCAAGAAGCAGCTGATGCATTTCAGAGAATCCCTCATTAAAACAACAAACTGGCCTGAAGCCCTCGATGTTGTGCAGCGGATTCAGTGAGCGCTTCGCTGCAAGAGGGATCCTGAGAGTTTGGCCTGAATGCAGCGAGCAAACAAACCCTCCATTGTGTCTGCGTCCTCTCCGAGTTGTAAACGGCCAGAAAAGCAGCGTTTCTGTCCTGTGACAGCACAATGTTTGCCTTGTACAGTCGCACACATTCCTGTGAGGAACTCGAGCCGTTCGGGTCACCTTGAGCGCATCTTCTGGAGGAATATAGTTCAGCTCGTCACATCGGTTCAGAGTCAGAGCTATAGTTACAGATCATGTTTGTTTGTGCTCAACTGTTCCGAGTCACATCATGTGAAAGATGTTTGGTTCAGAAATAAAAGAAGTTTGACATGACCTAATGTGTTATCTGTGTTAATGGTGTAGTATGTATGCGTTTATTTGTTCATGTTTTTGAGGAGAGATCCATCTGCAGCTACAGCACGGTTAATGCAGACAAACTGATTTTTCAGTTTATTAAACACCTTAATAAATAACATCTGAAAGACCACGGTAAACAAACGTTAATATACAATTCTTCAATAAATAAGTCAAATAAATTCATAAAATGTTATTTACAGACGTTAATCCGCGAAAAACTCCAAGCAAACTTACACGCAAAGCAAGAATTCATCAGTGCGCGGATGGCAAGAAATAATTTCACAAGAATAAAACTGTTAACAGTTCAAGTTTCTGCACTGAAATGTTTTGTAAAATACCGAAGAAAGAGTTATTTACACGTGTGCCGGGCAAACCCGCTCTGCCGGATCCGGTGCAGGGGCCGCTCTGTGCAAACCGGTGCTACATATTCCAGCTAATATTGTGAGCTCAACTACCAACTATCGAAACATCCAACATATTCATATAAATACAACCTGCTAATGAGCGCCGAGGGGAATCGAGCCGTACAGTTCTTCAACTGGAGCTGGTTGCTATCAAGCGCTCCAAAAGCTCCACCATCTCCGGAGCGCGAGCGTCCCGGGCCACATCCAGAGCGTCGGCCCCGCAGCTGTCCCGGTGCCCCAGGTCCGAGAGCGGGGCCAGGTACTCCCCCACGTCCCCGTGGCCCTCGCGGATGGCGATGTGGAGGGGCAGGGCTCCGCTGTGGTCGGGGACGTTGACCGAGGCGCCGTGGTCCACCAGAACCCTCAGCGTGTCCAGGAATCCGGTGCGGGCCGCGTCATGCGCAGGGGTCACGCCGCAGCGGTCCTGGACGTTCGGGTCAGCGCCGTGGTCCAGCAGCACACACGCCACACTGGTGCAGCCCATCATCATCACCTGCAGACGGCAAACACACGTCACTCAGGAGCTCAGGCCTCGCTGCTCTCGTGCAGTGCCGGGAGTTACATGTAACGGAGCTACACACTCTAATTACAAATGTAACTGTAATCTGTTACTGAGATAAAATGTGTCATTAAATTAGTTACTTGTGAAAATGTTAAGTATTACGGGGGCCAAATTGCTGTAAAATATGTTTCAGGAGTTTAGGACACATGCTTATTCGATACCCGTCTTATTTCCTATTTGGGTTTATGTATATGCTTTATTTTTTAAATTAACCGTCTTTTTCCCAAAGCATTGTTCAGAGATGCAAACAGGTAAGGGAGAAAAAAGGTGAGAGCATTGCGCAGATTGAGGGAATGCTCCACATGCTTATTTGTAGTTACTTTAAGATATTTTTTTATTACCTTATACTGTATGTCCAAAACTGTAATTTTTCACACAAAAAAATGTCTCTCTCTCTCTTCAGCGTTCACACATCTCTGACCTCAGAAAACGCTCTCTCACTGGATCTAAGCAAATCTCACAGCTGACCTGTTTTGCTCTGAAGAGTGAGGAGTCTGAAAGCTGAGGAGTTTGCTTCTATAAATGCCAGAGATTCATGCCATTGCAAAGATAGCTATTAAACTATATCTTATGATTTTAAAGCAGTATTTAACCTCAGAACAATCTCAAAGTAAAAAGAGCTGCTAAAGCCTGATTTTGTGGTGGCTGTGCTTTACAATTATTATAATCTTAATTCAAGTGATGGATTATTGTGAAAGTCTGACAGTAATCAGTGTTGAGTTCTTCTGTGAGGTTAAACCTGCCTGTGTTAAATGTTTTAAAATGATTAACAGTTGAAAACATTCATAAGAAATTTAGAAAAGTAATCAAATGTAATCAGTTACATTACTTTAATAAATTAATTGAAATAGTTACATTACTTATTACATTTTAAATAGGGTAACTTGTAAACTGAATCGCGCTCAGATTAAACGCGCAGCGAAGGAAGCGCAGCGATCGATCGTCGTGACGTCATCGCGGCCGGAAGGGGAAGCGAGCGAAACAGCGCAGAGAGAATCTGTAACTCTATGCTGTAAATGTGAAGCAGAGTGTTTGACCTGCAGTGCGGTTTTCCCGAACTCGTTGAGCGTGTCCGGTTGGAGCCGGTGATCCTGCAGCATCCGCCGCACCGCGTCCACATTCCCCCGCGCCGCCGCCGCGCTGAGGCTCTTCCCGCGACCGAACCCGTCCAGAACCATCATCTGAGGAGATCTGATCCGAGAAAACATTCCGTGACAACGCGAACCGATTCAACAGCATCGACACGAACAGCGTTTAAAGCGCTTACCGCTGTCTCTGTGCGTCGCAGTCCGCGGATGAGCGACCGTTGGCTGTTGTTCTGTTTACTCAGATCCGCCAAAACAATCACAAATAAACGCGCGGAGCTGGTAATCAAATGTAATCAGTTACATTACTTTAATAAATTAATTGAAATAGTTACATTACTTATTACATTTTAAATAGGGTAACTTGTAAACTGTAACCTATTACATTTCCAAAGTAACTACGCGTAACTGAATCGCGCTCAGATTAAACGCGCAGCGAAGGAAGCGCAGCGATCGATCGTCGTGACGTCATCGCGGCTGGAAGGGGAAGCGAAACGAACAGCGCAGAGAGAATCTGTAACTCTATGCTGTAAATGTGAAGCAGAGTGTTTGACCTGCAGTGCGGTTTTCCCGAACTCGTTGAGCGTGTCCGGTTGGAGCCGGTGATCCTGCAGCATCCGCCGCACCGCGTCCACATTCCCCCGCGCCGCCGCCGCGCTGAGGCTCTTCCCGCGACCGAACCCGTCCAGAACCATCATCTGAGGAGATCTGATCCGAGAAAACATTCCGTGACAACGCGAACCGATTCAACAGCATCGACACGAACAGCGTTTAAAGCGCTTACCGCTGTCTCTGTGCGTCGCAGTCCGCGGATGAGCGACCGTTGGCTGTTGTTCTGTTTACTCAGATCCGCCAAAACAATCACAAATAAACGCGCGGAGCTGAGCGCCTTCACATCGCGCGCCTGACCGACAACAGCGCCGCACGACGAGCGCTCGTCAGCCAATCAGCGCTCACACACGCCAACGCGGATGCCGTAATTGGACAAAAGGGAGGAGTGCTGGTAGGCGTTGCTACAGTATCGCCGTGGCAACTGCGCCAGCGACCAATGAGAATGTAGAGCGCAGAAGGCGGGCGATTTGAGAAGGTTTATTTGTAAACTGTTGCGTTCATTCCATAGACTGTATAAAAACAGGTTCATTCACAGAGACAGAGAGAGTGTGTGTGTGTGTGTGAGAGTGTGTGTGTGTGTGTGTGGAAAAGAGCGGGCTTTCGTGCCAAGACACGCTCATGATAATAAACATATTTAGATATATATCAGTAATTTTTTCAGGACAAATATATTCAATTTATTGCAAAATTAAACAGAAATGATTGACAACATATTCCATGATTTCGTGCAAAAAACACTTTTGAAAATGACTGAAATGCTGAGTGTGTTTACATTCAACGTCAACGATTTATACAATAATTTTTTTCTAATGAAATTCTGCCAGGATAAAACCAACTAATAACACAGACACAAAAACATTTAATAAACTTCTTCCACAAAATTGCTGTGCAGTTCTCCGTCTCGTCTCATTAACTGTTCGTCCTCAGCTGGTAATCTGAAAACATACATCGATATAAATACTACATGATGATAATTAACACCAATCCTCTTGAGATCATCTGATCTGCTACACCGCCCAACATAGTCTTTATTAAAACCTGCTTTGTGAGATAATTCGTATATAATATATCTGCACACTTAACATATCTGTATATTCACTTAAACAATTATGTCCCCCCCCCCTCCTATATTTCTGCTTCTGTATATAGTGCATTATTTAATTTTCTGTTTTTCTTATATTAGTGTTATATTGCATCAGTGTAATTGCTATGTATGTCTGCACTTTCTTCTGCAGCGGAAGCAAGCACACAAGCTCTTTCTGACTTCTGCTAGATATCGACTAAGTGTTTTTGTATTAATGTGGCAAGCCGAGAGAATTATTGCACTGATGCTCAAAGCAACAATGAGAGAGTTTCTAGCAGGACCTGATGGCTACAGCTCTTTTTCACTTTTTTTCCTGTGTATATATTATTATTATTATTATGTATTTATTTAATTTTGTGCCTTTGTCTATGGTTTTAGTTTAAATCAGAATCATAATGTGCTTTATTGCAAAGTGTTTACACACACAAGGAATTTGTGCTTCCAGTACAGAAAGTACAGACATACGTATAATTTAAGGTAATAAAAACACTAATAATAAAACGAATAGACAATAAATTTTAAATAACAATACAGCAATAAAATATAGAGAAAATAAAATATCAACAGACAGACATTTGATTGACCATATGCAAGTTTTACGCTGTTGCTTATTTGAATAAGAAAGCCTAATAAAATATAAACCGGTGTTGTTAAAGCTCACCTCCGCTCTGTGTGATGTAGCAGACCCACGGCAGCGCCTGATAGCCGCTCTTCTCGATGATCTTCATGTACCGCACCTTCACAATACAATCACACTTTAGAGTTTCACAACTGATCATACTTTCTCACTTTAGATCTTAAAGCGATAGTTCACCCAAAAATTACAATTCTGTCGTTAATTACTCGCCCTCACGTCGTTCCAAACCTGTAAGACAGATGAACTGATGAACCCTGCACAGACAGCTAGGATCCTGACACGATCAAGCCTCACAAACACAGCAAGGACATGTTAAAATAATCCATGTGACATCAGAGGTTCAACCCTAATGTTACGAAGCTACGAGAATGCTTTTTGTACACAAAGATGAACGAAGGTCTTACAGGTTTGGAACGAAATGAGGGCGAGTAATTAATGACAGAATTTTCATTTTTGGGTGAACGATCTCTTTAATCAGAACATTAAACACGGTGACATGAGTGTAAATAGAGCGCACCTGTATGCCGGACACGGTGAAGTACGGGATCTCAAACCTGACGGTGATCGGAGGCCTTCCCTCCAGCTCGTGATTCTCTACACTCGGCAGACCGAAGTGAGCGCGCATCAGAAACTCCTTTCCACCCTGTCGACGGTTTACAGATTCAACAAAACTCACACATACATAAATGACAAAGGTCTTATAAAGCATAACATCTCAGGACAGATGGTTTCTCTAAGCATCTGTAATCGGTTTCTCACCGGGAAGGATTTAATGCTCCACACCACCAGGTTCTTCTCAGGAACGTATTTAGCGTGACCTGTGCTGGTTTTGAACTTGGGAGAGTCGGCATCGCTCGGCACCGGCACGCGGATCTCCACATTATTGGCCACGGACTGCTTTTTAAACTGGCCTTTAGCCTGAAATAGAGAGAAAGAGAGAGACTGGATCAGATCTGTCTTCATATACTGAACAACGCTGAAAATATGAGTCTTGCTCACAAACCTTCACCATGATCTCCACCCGACTGTGAGAGAACTTCTCAATAACCGACTCGATCCAAATGAGCGGCTTCACCTGCAGACCAGAGATGGGTACGGTTACAGAGAGACTGACACACATCGGCTGTGTGACGCTGCTGCGAAGATCTAACATAACAATACTGTCAGGACTAAACTCACTTCTGTTCATACACCGTTCAGTCATGAACAGGTAACAGCGTTCAGTAGCTCAGATTATCATGAGCTGGGCTGATGTGTGCTGCGCAATCAAAGACTAGCTGTCTGTCCGCGTCGATAGCCTTGTGGGCAAGTGAGCTAGCATATAGCGCTGTTGCGTTACGGCGTCCCGAGTTCGAATCCCGGCTTGAGGACATTTCCCGATCCCTACCTGTCTGCTCTCCACGGTCTATCATAATGAAAGCCAGAACACCAAAAACAAAAAAAGACTAGCTGTCTGTAACGTCACTGAGATATGTATGGCACAAGCATGATGTTTATTCTTTACTGTCAATCAAACTCTCTCACTTCATGAAAAAAAGATCAACTGTGTGTCCACAGAGGAAGATAAAACAGGTGTTTGAGAGACGGAGTTAAAAAAATCTGTAACACTTTATTTTAAGGTGTCCTTAAGTTATGTGTACTTACTATTATAATAACAACTAATTATGCATAATTACATGCAAGAAACCCTAAGCCTAACCCTAACTATATAGTAAATACATGTAGTTAATAAATATTACTCAGTACTTAAATACACTGTACCAAGGACACTTTAAAATAAAGTGTAACCAAAAAATCTCAGAGGAAGAAAGCAGCAGCAATGTCCCAAAATGCTGCACGGGGGGGGTGAGAAGGGTGACAGAATGCATAGGGCCCAAGAGGACTGTGGGGCCCAGAATTCCTAGCGTCAGCCCTGCTACAGAGAATAGAGAAAATAAAAAGGTAATTGACTTCAGGAACCCGTTCAGCCATTATTCAATCTGCGTGTGTCTGTAGTTTCATTACAAACGTGTTCGTCAATACACAAGCTGTTAGCCGCGCTTACGTGTGTGTTGATCCGGTACGACATGAGCTCAGACTCTCCGTCAGGCGGGATGAAGGAGATGGTTCTGTCACTCTCGAACCGTGACAGACGAACACACTGATGAAACTTCACATCCTCCATAGCCACAGACTTCCCTTTGTCTCCTGCACACACACACACATGCACGCATGCACACGCGCACGCACGCACGCACACGCACACATGCAGCTCGTACACCACTACGAAGTTATCCTGGATGCTCTCCTCCTCCAGCTCCTTGAAGTACTCCGTGAACACCTGAACACACGGCACAGGAGAAGCACGCTTGTTTCTCAGCATGACATTCAGCGCCTTCAGTTAACATTGAAGAATTAACCCGGTAGTTAATGAAGGACCACGAGTCGTCTCGGACTCACCTCCACCAGCTTGTACAGGAAGGCGTAGACCAGAGACGCATTGGAGTTCTTGTTGGTGGTGGCCACCACTGATGTTATCGGCAGGTTAAGTTTAATGGGGTCATGAACTAAGAAACCGAAATTCCCTTGATCTTGTGACATATAAGATGTCATTGTACTATAAAAACATCCTGTAAGTTTCAGAACTCAGAACATCACTGTCTGTTTAGCCCCGCCCACTGATTCGCGCATGTAGTGTTTACACAAGAGGCTAACGCAGGTCTACGCAGAAACCAAATGATAAAGGTGCTCTGAAGACAGCAAAACCCTGTGCGTTGCCTTCCTTCTGATCACAATGTTACGAAAGAGTGGATGAACTTTATTTTTAATAAAGATCCAGACCGCGTCAGTAAGAACTTGGTCCTTTGTTCACTTCATTTTATTGCAGATTCGTTTACAAACAATACACAATTCGATGCAGGATTTTCAGAAAGATTGAAACTAAAAGATGATGCTGTGTGATTATATTGGATCCGACTGTAATGTCACAAGTGTGAGGAACTGTTTCATTACGTGATCACTACATACACAACTGTTAGCCAATCACAGCAGTGGGCGTTTACCTCCGAGTCTACAATCCTCCAGGCCTATTCAAACAGAGCGTTCTGATGAGTGGGGTTAAAAACGGTACAGAAAATAGCCTATTACTTC